TGGAGCATTGCTGCAGCACTTCAGGATGTGAACTTGGTGATGACATGTCAATATAGAGTTTGAGCTGAAACTTGATTAGCTTGAATTCTGAGCTCAGGTCTGGAGTTTTGTCTTTGAGCGGCTCGGATAAGTTGAGCTGTTTCCTTCTTTGTGTTCAGCGTCCGCATAAAGATTTCGTCTAACTTTAACCGATGTGGACTCAGACTCTGAATGTCTGTTGCATCAGAGCAGACGTCTCTGTTCTCCGTGTTTTAGTTCCACCATTCTCGTCTATTTCTGTACGTGACTCATATTAAAGGCTGCGACATGTGTTAAATTTAAATCCACCTCGAGCGGGTTTGAGCCACAGGAATCCCAGTAAAGTGCAGCAGTGTTTGCTGGTTGAACTGAGGCTGTGGTTGTTGCAGTGATGTGAGTTGTGTGTCGCTGGTCTGCTGCTTGTTGGTGAGAAAGTGGGGGGTTGTACTGAGGAATGCTCTCTCTCAGTCCTGTTCTCGTCGCTGAACATTAACTTTCTCTGCCCTTAAAACCAGCATCACCCTAAAATCCAGTCCTTTGCTGTATGAAGAGCTGCTCTGTGTCTCCGTGAGGGAGGAAAACCTGCACATTGTGGCTGTTTAAACACACGTATGTCCCCACAACATGAGTAAAACCGGCCCAAACACACTTCCCCCGCTGCGCTCTTTGTCCTGATCTCGCTTCGTCCTGAACGCTGCGTCCAGCCTGTTAAAGTGGTGAACTGGGTTTCGTGTGTTTGCGGCTCGCAGCCAAACCGCTCGGTAACAGCAGCTCTTTGTGGACACAGGAAGTAGCGCTGCAGAGATTCCAGGCTGAGCTGCTGAAAAACAAACTCCTCAGCGGAGACTTGAACCTGCTGCTGAGCTGCTTTCTGTTTAGGAGAGCGCCATGGACTCCATCACACCTGCACAGTCTGACAAAGGTGTTCATTAGGAGGAGAGACTCTTTCAGACCGCTGGGATCTGGATCAACACACGTGCCCGACATGTTCATCAACAACACATTTCTGTCCGTTACAGGAGCAGGACGGGAGATTCCTGTAAGCTGACTTTTGGTTGGCTGGTGGAATCACAAAGCTGACTGACTACTCCGTATGTTTTGTCTTTGAAATGACCGTCTCAGAGTTTTTTAGGTTTGAGCCAACAAAAACTCACAGTGTAGAGAACAGAACCCACAAACCGAGGTATTTAAGCATCCATCTAGAATCTTTTGGAGGGTATCGGGGGGACGGAGTCTTTTCCAGCTGAGGGTGAAGGCAGGTTCACCTGGACAGGTAACCAGTCCATCACAGGGCCACAGAGAGACAGGCGCATTTAAACATGATTCAAGTAATAATGGAAAACACGTCTTAGTCTGTCAGGCTTCTGATACAACAGAAATATTCTGAATGACCTTTTTAAGGTGCTTGAATACTTTAACTTGTTGGATATTTGAACCATTTCAGGTTTATAGAAATCTTTCAAATAAGCTCAGTGCTCATACTTTCCAAGATCTGGTTAAAAACAAACAAACAAACTCCAAAATCAAACTCAGAACCAGCCCAAACTTCGGTCCAAAACCGAGTTTGAAACCCGTCTAAAACTAAGTTTGAATCTAGTCTATGACCAGGTCCTGAACGCATCCAAAATCAGGTCCAAATATGTCCAAATCCAACCTCAACACCCATCTAAAATCAGCTCAAAACTGGGTCCAAAACCAGTCCAAATCCAAATTTGAAACCAGTATAAACCTCAGTTCTAAACTAGTCTGAGACTCATCCGGATCAAAACCCATCCAAAGTCAGTCGAAACCAAGTTTGAAACCAGTCTAACAAAACTTCATTAGCTCAGCTCCCCTCCTCAGTGGAGGGGGACAGGACTTTGTAAAGACTTTTATTGGCTCCAGAGTTGACCAGAACCTGTTTGACCCTGCAGGAAGCCGTCCGACGGTCCAGTATGTGTCGTCGCTGTCCGAGCTGCCTCAGGCGCTGCTGCCCTACTACACTCAGGGCTACGTCCTGGCCGCCCTCCATCCCATCATCCTGTCAGTGGGCCGGACCCGATCGCTGCCCTTCAGCCTGCTGTACCGAGCCATCCTGGCCCGGCCCAGACCCAGGTAGGCCCCAGCATGTATGTCTAACAGGTTCCGTGTTAATGCCAGTACAGGGGAAACCCGACAGCATCAGTCTGTAAGTAGATGAAAGATAAATGAAGGCAGCTGCATATTTAATGCTGATAGCAGGTCAGCAGCATGTTCGCTTTGACAGGTCATGATTCCTATTGGCTGGAAATCCACCCGACAACAAGGGTCTCCCAGCAGCCAATGGGGACAAAGTGTGTGTGATGATTGAGGTCCGATAGGTCGGGATCCTGTAGCTATGACGAACATTTTTACTGCCAGAGGACCGGCAGTAGGACATGGAGGCATCGTGGCCTCGTGTCTGTTTGGAAGGACTGGAAATATTCTTTATAGAAAAAAAAACCACCGCAGAGAGGCTCAAAACCAGCAAGAGACTCCAGTCTGAAACCAGGTCCAAAACCAAGCTCAGAACCTGTCTGAAACAGTTTTGTCTACAACCGGTCCAAATCCAAGTTCAATACCCAAAAACATCTAAAGCAAAGTTTGAAAGCACTCTAAAACTAGCCCAGCATCTGGTCCAAAACCAGTCCAAAACAAGGTCCAAATTCAAGTTGGACACCTGTTCAAAACCAGTCCAAAATTAAGTATGAAAGTAGTCTAAAACCAGGTCCAGAACCCATCCAAAATCAGGTTCAAAAGTGTCTAGAATCCCATCTAAAACCAGGCTCAGCACCAGTCTAAAACCACACCAGAATCATGTCTAAAACCACGTTCTAAGCCACTTCAAAACCAGGTCCACTATTAGGTCCAAAACTAGTTCAAAACCAAGTCTGAAACCAGTTT